GTTATTTGTTCATTAAAAAAGTACACATTTATAATGTATCCACTCCTCACCTGTCATCTGATAACTGCTCTTAGTCAYTCATTATCAATATTTGTTTTATCTCAAATTGTTTCCATCAACTTCCTCCCCAAATTCGCATTAGCTAGTGAGCAGGCTTTCATAAGAGTCACCATCACYAGAGCTGTGACAACTCACTTGAATCTGCCTGGGAAGAGACATTGCCAGTGGGTGGCAGCATGCACAAGAGCGGGTCACATTTCCTGTTATCTTAAGGTTGAATTTCGAAACAACTCTAGAATCCAGACTCCCAAGCAAACCTAGAAGCAGCCTGCAGACAACTGCAGGAAAGCTGAGGATTTCTGAGGGGGAGAGGAAACCCTGGGCAGAACGCAGAACCCAGGGCACCTGGTGGGAAGCAGGCGGCTCTGCCCCACAGTCACCTCYCCTCCCCAGCAGTGTAAAACCAGGGTGAGAGCCTGCTCCTAGAATCAACAGTGGGGTCAACGCACACAGGCAGATCGTCCCCCTCCTGCAACATTTGTACTCTGCACAAGGTCACTCCCAGCTATCTCCACTGCGCATCCCCCCGCCTTCTCCGGGAAAATATAGCTGTGTCATTTCAGAGACATTTTTAATGTCATCTGCTCATGATGTGCAGACTGAGAAGCAGACAATTTTGTTCTGCTCTGGCAGAAAAATAAAACAAAACAAAAACGTTCTAACCCAGCAGCTAGAACAGCAATAATACACAGAGCATCAATTTAGTCACACAAAATTTGAGTGTATATTACAGGAGCCAATGATTGCATGAAAGGTGCAGTGTCTAAGGAGGAAGGGTGGCATCATTTTCCCTGTGCTCAGTAATGTGATACAGTTATTATTATGTAATCTGGGGAAAGTTCTGGAGCTCGAACCCAGGCCTCTCTTGTGCTAGGCAAGCACTTTACTGATGAGCCACGCCCCCAGCCTCAATGTGTCATGTTTTACTTCAGTCATAGAAAATCTTGTTAGAAAAGTTGTTGTTTTTAATATAGAAGTACATTCTCCAATTCAAACATAACAAAATCCAGAGGGGTTGATAAGACAAAGTTCCTAACTGCATCTACTTTTTTCAAAAATATTTTTTTTTTAGCTGTAGATGGGCACAATATCTTTACTTTTATTTATTTATTTTTATATGGTCTGAAGATTGAACCTAGCGCTTCATTTGTGTGAGGCAAGTGATCTACCACTGAGCTAAAACCCCAGCCCAAACAGCATCCACTTTTTAATTGAGTGCTTATCTTTGACATAATTATATTTAAAATGAAAATGCTGTGAATATTTAATTAGCTGAGAGTTATTTTTCTAAATAGTATCAATTCAATTCATACACTTTTCAGAAAAATTCTTGTTTTAAGTTATAGTAGTTTGCTCTAYCATATTTGTACATTAAATAACCATTTTAGAAAATCCTTTCCAAAGTATTTAGGAAAGAAATCAGCTAGTCAATATTTCAAATGAGCAGAATAAATACTACAGTAGAAAGCCTTTACAATTTCCAAAGAACTGATAGAATCTATTGACAAATCCTGATTCTTTAAATGTTTGCAATACCATTCATAGATACTAAATGATCCAAACAGCAGTTACATTCTTGCATGTAAATCATTCTATTATGCTCACAGACTTAGCATGTTACAAAATTCTTGTGCAATTTCAGTTGAAATGTATTAGCAAAGAGATTTGCACAGAAAAACAAGCTGGGAAAGTGTTATAATGAACCTTAGATGAGCAAACGTCTGTGCAAGGTTCATTCATTAGAGAAACAGAAATTTATTAGATGAGCTCTGAACCACAATATTAACCATATCTAAAGAGGAAGAAAYGTTGTCATTCTAAAGATTAAATATATCCTCTGACATAAACCTGTGAAATTAAAATATGTACCTCCAAAGATACACTTTTAAATTAGAACTATTCTCAATGATTATGTAGCATTCCATTTAACAATCTGCTTAGTCAGTTTTTAGATTGAGTACACCTAGACACACAATAGTGTCAAACATCTACAGGGTAAAGATTTAAAGAGAAACAAAACYTCAGAACCAGTGAATCATCATCTAATTTCTCCTTCTATACATGCCTCTCTTACATGAAACAGATAATTAATGATGCTCATTATTACTATCAGTATGGTGTTTGTATTATGGATTCGTAGCACATTTTAAATTTTTATAAAATTGACTTCTTCGTGACAAATTATTCCATGAAGGACCTTTACTTTTAATAATAAAAGTATCGTTATTGCATAAGAGCCTATGTCTAAAACAAAACCCTYCTTGATTAAAGATGTGGCCATTTTGTTAGCCATGGAAAGAAAGCAATCTTTCAGCAAAAAGTCCTGAACTATGAGAAAACCTGCATCCAGGCTGTTTGCTGGCATCAGGTCAGGCAAGCAGCACCCAGTCCTCTGTGCAGAGCTCTGAGGCAGGTGCTATTAGCTGACTGCTGCTGAAGGGTATGGGAGAACAGTTGGAAAATCACAAGGTGCAGAACAAGGTTCCAGTAAATAAACAGCTTATTTAGCAATGCAAAGGGCGAAAGAAAAATAGCTCCTTGGGTGAAGAAGACTGGGATATTTTCAATGACAATTTTTTACTGATGCTTCCATGGACTGACTGGTAATGAAAACTGAATTGGACCTCCTAACTTGAACTTGGAGGTTCTAGGACTTYTGGATTACAAGTGGCTTGCAGTCTGCTGTAGACTCGTCCTCTTCATGATATGATAAAGTCTCTGACATGGCTGGAATTCTGCACCCTTCCCTCTTTTGCCCATCTTGGCAAGAGACAGCTCAAGGGGAAAGCGCTACTGGCCAACTTCAAGTTTCTGACACATTAACCCAAATACTGGCATTTAATGCCAACACAGCCCTAAGGAAAACAGGTTGACACATGCCGACATCTGAGGGGTGAGCAAGTTGATGCTCAATGTGTAGCTGAAAACCTACTTTGTACTGAGTCAGAAATCAAAAGTAAAACAACTGCATAATACATTTTCTCAGAATAAATTATCACATGATGTTKATAAGGGGAGACCCATCATCATCATCTGCTACCCGAGGTCACAGAACGTAACAGGCAGGCTTATTGGCATCTCTCATAAAATTAGGCCACATTTTCTTCAAGCTCCAAGATAAGAATCCCTTTGTATTTCTTCTCTGAGTAGACATACTGCTAGGCAATACATGTCAACAGAAAAACAGAAAGAATTTAAAAACAGAAACCTAAAGTATAATGTCTATAAAGACTAAGGCGCGTGCGCACGCGCACACACACACACAGGTACACACTTAAAATGTCATTCATACCATGGTTAAATTTAACTCTTTCAGGCAAATTTTATGATATTTGCCATACTGATTATTCTTCCCAAATGTATGCTACTCGTCAATAATCCTTACTATATTCATGTTAAAAGCAGAACGTTATGACTTCTCTCAGGGTCTCTTAGCACATAAAGTTAACCAATCTTTATGTCACCTCTTATACAAATGTTAAAATATATATCACCCTTTCAAAAATCTCAATCTTAAATTGTTTTCCTTAGATTTTAAAATATCATTATATTTAAAACAAAGACGTTGCTAATTATAGGGGACGTTCAAAGACAAAATTCTGGGATTTTAACATTAAAAACCCCAAGATTATGAGATAGACTATTGTCACAAATTATTTCATGAAGACAAAATTTTCTTTCTGGAGCCTGCTCTGCTCTTAATTCAAGGAACCGCCTTCCAGAGTGGCTCTGTCACTTCAGAGATGCAATTGTCTGGGTGCTTTTTGTCATCGACTTTCAAAGTCACTAAAGCCACGCAGATACAAACATTTGTAGCAGTTCAAGGGCATCTTTCGCCAAGCAGCTGCTGCCTGCGCCAGGCTCGCAGGTACCGCGACGCCCCCTCCCCGGCGAGTGCGGGGGGCGCCGCCGCAGGGACCGGCTCGGAGCTGCGGGGTCCTCAGGCCCGCCCTCTCCCGACACTATGGAAACCGCATTTTCCTACGCAGGCACGTCCTCCTCCTTTCTCCTATTACATCCCCAGCAGCCGACTTCCACTTCCCGAGAACCTGACAAGTGAATGGCGCTGATGACGCCCCGGAAAGAGCCCACGGCCGCGGGGTGCGGGGGAAGGGCGCCCCCGGCGCGTGGGCCCCAGCGACGCGCGGCGGAGTTCCGGGCGCCACGCCCGCGGCAGACCGCCCCCCTCGGGGAGGCGCGGAGCCGCGATCGATCGGGAGCTCGCCGAGACTGGGATGCTCGTAAACAAGCCGGGCCGCGCGCCCGCCAACCCCGCGGGCCGGCACCGGGCACCGCCCAGCGCAGAGCGGCGCGGGCGGGTTCGCGCGCACCCCGAGCTCGGCGCGGGATCGCCCACCGAAACGGGGGAGAGGGCCGCGGAGGGCGGCCAAGCTCATCCCCCTTTACGGCCCAGAGGCCGCGGGAGGCGCGAGCTGGGCCACGAGGGCCAGGCCAGGGGTGCCGCAGCCAGCCCGGCCCCGGCCCCGGCTCTGCCCAGGCCCCGCCCCTGTCGGCCGCCGCGGCCCCCGACCTCCGCGGCCCCCGCCTCTGTCTGCAGTTCCCCTCCCCGTACCCCTCCCCGACGGAAGCTCCGAGCCCAATTAATTGAGTCAAAGGCGCGAGGGAAGGGCCCTCCCCGCCGCGGCCCGCCCCCGCCCCTCCTCCGCGCCCCTTTTCCCGCCCTGGGTGGCATCTCCTCCGCGGCAACCACAACGAGCCTCTGATTAATGAGGCCCGGYCCGGCCCCGTCCTCCGCGGGAGGGGGAGGGGACGGCGGGAAACGCGGCCCCGGGAGAAAGGGGGGCGGGGCGGGGCGGGGGCGCTCGGCCCGCCCCCCCGAGTCCCACGCCCATTGGTCGTGTGCGCCGTCCGTCTGGGGGCGCGGCACCAATGCGGGGCGGCTGGGCGGGGCGGGCGCGCCGTGTGTGCCTGCGTAACGCCGAGTCACATGTTGTTTTGCTCTTCTTAGTTCAGTCACTCGGTGCGCGATGTGTTACTCACTGTGCGGCGGGGACCGCGACGAGCTCGGGTCGCGGTTGGCAGCAGCAATAGCAGCCCCGGCGGCGGCGCGGACCCCGAGTGCCCGGGCGCACCCCGGCTTCCTGGAGCGCGGCGCAGCGACTGCAAAGGTGCGGCCGCGCGCGCCTTAGGCTCGGCCCCGCGACTSGGGGATCCCGACTCTCAGCCCAGCCAGCGAGTCCCCAGGCGCCGCCCGAGAGCCCAGGAGGCAGCGGCCGCGGGCAGCCGGGCCGGGGGGCGGCCACCGCCCGCACCAGGCATCCTCCGGAGCCTCGGAGGGCGCTGCGCCACCGGAACGTGCGGGCCTCCACGGACCTTCTCCTCTCCTGGGTCGGTGGGACGCGTGTTCCGGCGGGCGGCGGGGCGAACGGGTGGCAGGGAGCCGCCCCCGCCCGCGCCCCTCCGCCCTCCTCCAGACCCTCCACGCCGGGCTGGGCTGCGCGGCCTGAAGAGCCGGCGATGGCGAGTCCGCCGCTGCATGGATCCCCCGGGCCGGCGGGCGGCGACGGCCCCAACCTCAACAACAACAACAACAACAACAACCACAGCGTGCGCAAGTGCGGCTACCTGCGCAAGCAGAAGCACGGCCACAAGCGTTTCTTCGTGCTGCGCGGGCCCGGCGCAGCTGGCGACGAGGCGACAGCGACTGCGGGCGGGGGGTCGGCGCCGCAGCCTCCGCGGCTCGAGTACTACGAGAGCGAGAAGAAGTGGCGGAGCAAGGCAGGCGCCCCGAAGCGAGTGATCGCGCTCGACTGCTGCCTGAACATCAACAAGCGCGCGGACGCCAAGCACAAGTTCCTGATCGCCCTCTACACCAAGGACGAGTATTTTGCTGTGGCGGCCGAGAACGAGCAGGAGCAGGAGGGCTGGTACCGCGCGCTCACGGACCTGGTCAGCGAGGGCCGCGCGAGCGCCGGGGACCCGGCCCCCGCCGCCTCGGCCCCCGCGGCGTCCTGCAGCGCCTCCCTGCCCGGCGCCCTGGGCGGCTCGGCCGGCGCCGCGGCCGATGACAGCTATGGGCTCGTGGCGCCCGCCACGAGCGCCTACCGCGAGGTGTGGCAGGTGAACCTGAAGCCCAAGGGCCTGGGCCAGAGCAAGAACCTGACGGGCGTGTACCGCCTGTGCCTGTCGGCGCGCACCATAGGCTTCGTGAAGCTCAATTGCGAGCAGCCGTCGGTGACGCTGCAGCTCATGAACATCCGCCGCTGCGGCCATTCGGACAGCTTCTTCTTTATAGAGGTTGGCCGCTCGGCCGTCACGGGCCCCGGAGAGCTGTGGATGCAGGCCGACGACTCGGTGGTGGCGCAGAATATCCACGAGACCATTCTGGAGGCCATGAAGGCGCTCAAGGAGCTCTTCGAGTTCCGGCCGCGCAGCAAGAGCCAGTCGTCCGGGTCGTCCGCCACGCACCCTATCAGCGTCCCCGGCGCGCGCCGCCACCATCACCTGGTCAACTTACCCCCTAGTCAGACAGGCCTGGTGCGCCGCTCGCGCACCGACAGCCTGGCCGCCACTCCGCCGGCCACCAAGTGTAGCTCTTGCCGGGTTCGCACTGCCAGTGAGGGCGACGGCGGCGCTGCAGCCGGGACTGTGGCGGCGGCCGGCAGGCCTGTGTCCGTAGCCGGGAGCCCCCTGAGCCCTGGGCCCGTGCGCGCGCCCCTGAGCCGCTCGCACACCCTGAGTGGCGGCTGCGGTGGCCGCGGGAGCAAAGTGACACTGGCACCGGCAGGGGGCGCCCTGCAACACAGCCGCTCCATGTCCATGCCCGTGGCGCACTCGCCCCCTGCTGCCACCAGTCCTGGCAGCCTGTCGTCCAGCAGCGGGCACGGCTCAGGCTCCTACCCGCTGCCTCCGGGCCCGCACCCGCACCTGCCTCATCCTTTGCACCACCCCCCAGGTCAGCGGCCCTCCAGCGGCAGTGCCTCTGCCTCAGGCTCTCCCAGTGACCCTGGCTTCATGTCTCTGGACGAATACGGCTCTAGCCCTGGTGACCTGAGAGCCTTCTGCAGCCACAGGAGCAACACACCGGAGTCCATCGCGGAGACACCCCCGGCCAGGGATGGCAGCGGGGGCGAGTTGTATGGGTACATGACTATGGACAGGCCTCTGAGCCACTGTGGCCGACCGTATCGCAGAGTCTCCGGTGATGGGGTCCAGGACTTGGACAGAGGACTGAGAAAGAGGACTTACTCCTTGACCACACCTGCTCGGCAGCGGCCAGTGCCCCAGCCCTCCTCTGCCTCTCTGGATGAGTACACCCTGATGCGGGCCACCTTCTCTGGAAGCTCAGGCCGCCTCTGCCCATCTTTCCCTACATCCTCTCCCAAAATGGCTTACCACCCCTATCCAGAGGACTATGGGGACATAGAGATTGGATCCCATAGGAGTTCCAGCAGCAATCTGGGGGCTGATGACGGCTACATGCCCATGACCCCTGGTGCGGCTCTCATGGGCAGTGGCAGCGGCAGCTGCAAGAGCGATGACTACATGCCCATGAGCCCCACCAGCGTGTCTGCCCCAAAGCAAATCCTGCAGCCAAGAGCTGCGCCTGCAGCAGACTTGCCCCCCACCGGAGCAGCAGCGCCTCAGCCCGCCCCTGTGGCCAACAGGACCTTCCCAGTGAGCGGGAGCGGCTACAAGGCCAGCTCCCCCGCGGAAAGCTCACCCGAGGATAGCGGGTACATGCGCATGTGGTGTGGCTCCAAGCTGTCCATGGAGAATGCCGACCCAAAGCTGCTTCCCAATGGGGACTACCTCAACATGTCCCCCAGCGAAGCGGGCACCGCGGGCACGCCTCCTGATTTCTTCTCAGCAGCCTTGCATGGCAGTGGGGAGGTGCTCAAAGGGGTCCCTGGCTACTGCTACAGTTCCTTGCCCCGCTCCTACAAGGCCCCTTATGCCTGCAGCGGGGACAGTGACCAGTACGTGCTCATGAGCTCCCCTGTGGGACGGATCCTGGAAGAGGAGAGGCTGGAGCCCCAGGCCACCCCAGTAACCTCCCAGTCAGCCAGCACCTTTGGGGTTGGCGGGAGTGGCCACCCCCAGCCTCCCCATCCAGCAGTGCCTTCACCCATGAGGCCAAGTGGCAGCAATTTCCTGAGCCAGCGCTGCCGGGCGGTGCGGCCCACACGCCTGTCCCTGGAGGGGCTGCAAACCCTGCCCAGTATGCACGAGTACCCCCTGCCGCCAGAGCCCAAGAGCCCTGGAGAATACATCAACATTGACTTTGGCGAGGCGGGTGCCCGCCTCTCACCACCTGCGCCTCCACTGCTGGCATCCGCAGCCTCCTCCTCCTCGCTGCTGTCCGCCAGTAGCCCAGCTTCATCCCTGGGCTCGGGCACCCCGGGCACCAGCAGCGACAGCCGGCAGCGCTCCCCGCTGTCCGATTACATGAACCTGGACTTCAGCTCTCCCAAGTCCCCCAAGCCGGGCACCCGAAGCGCGGACCCAGTGGGCTCCCTGGATGCCCTGCTCTCGCCTGAGGCTGCTTCCCCCTACCCACCACTGCCTCCACGTCCTTCTGCCTCGCCCACCTCCCTGCAGCAGCAGCCCCCTGCACAGCCTCCTCCAGGGGAGCCCTACCATCTGCCTCCAGCATTGGGCACTGCCACCTCCCAAGGCCCCAGTGCTGCCTCCTCTACATCCTCTGAGACCGGGGACAATGGTGACTACACCGAGATGGCCTTTGGTGTGGCTGCCACCCCGCCTCAACCCATCGCGGCCCACCCAAAACCGGAAGGAGCCCGAGTGACCAGCCCCACCTCGGGCTTGAAGAGGCTGAGTCTCATGGACCAGCTGTCAGGGGTGGAGGCCTTCCTGCAGGCCAGTCAGCCCCCCGACCCTCACCGAGGCGCCAAGGTCATCCGCGCAGACCCGCAGGGGGGCCGCCGCCGCCACAGCTCCGAGACCTTCTCCTCGACCACCACGGTCACCCCGGTGTCGCCGTCCTTCGCCCATAACCCCAAGCGCCACAGCTCAGCCTCTGTGGAAAACGTCTCTCTCAGGAAAAGTGTCGAGGGCAGTGGTGGGGGCATCCTCGGTGGGGGCCTCGGAGCAGGTGAGGAGCCACCCACGTCCCCAGGACAGTCACAGCCATCAYTCCCTGTGCCTCCGACCCCGCAGGTGCGGCCGTGGGCCCCGGGCCAGCCTGGGGGCTTGGTGGGCTGTCCTGGGGCCAGTGGTTCTCCTATGCGAAGAGAGACCTCGGCGGGTTTCCAGAATGGCCTCAACTACATCGCCATTGACGTGAGAGATGATCCAGGGCTGTCCCCCCAGATGCAGCATCCGCAGCCAGGAGACAAGAGCTGGGGCCGGACCCGTAGCCTCGGGGGTCTCCTCAGTGCCGTGGGGGGCAGTGGCACCAGCGGGGTGTGTGGGGGCCCGGGCCCTGGTGCCCTGCCTTCGGCCAACACCTACGCCAGCATCGACTTCTTGTCCCGTCACTTGAAGGAGGCCACCATCGTGAAAGGTGAGGCCCTTTAACCTTGACCTGGGGTGGAGGGCGGAGCAGTGGTGCATCTCTGGGCTCTGCTCTTCTTCCCTGTGGGCCCCTTGATCTGAATGCCAGCTACTGGCTCAGACTCCTGGCTCTTGGCTGCCTGTGGCCCTCCTTCTCCAAAGAGCTTGTCAAGTTCTGTCAGCCTTGGGGATGAGGGTGACGCCTTCCTGTGGGAGGGAGACTTTAGCCTCAGGCCGTCCCATTTCCTGTGCCCCTGGCCTTCTCTTGGCATGAGGATGTACTCCACTTCTCAGTCCAGCAGTGCCCACATCTAAATCTAGTGGGGGCTTCTGGGCGGGGCCTGAAGGCACCGCCTTCCATCCTGTGCCTGTAGCTGGGCCCCAGCTGAATCTCACCGAGGCAGAGGCGTCTTCACAAAGTGGGCATCGGTTGGGGTGGCTGCCGGAGGGAATGGTGGCACCATCTCGAGCTCATACCTGAACTCTCAGAGCTCGAGGCCTATGGCTCCAGAGGGGTGAAATGGCAGCCCGGCTCTCACCTGAGCTCGCCTGGCGTCACCAGGAGAGTTTGCTGCACCCCGCGGTGTGGCAGGGAAACCCGGGTGTCTGTCTCTGATGAGTCCCCACCCTGCTGCACTGCAGCTGCACTAGGCTCCCTGGGAGGTTTGTGCCACTCAGACCAGGAAGGGAAAGCAGGGCTGGGTGGAGTCCAGGGACCCGCGGTACCCTGGTGATGCCAGTGTGCAGCCAGGATGCCCAGGCAGCGGTGGACGGAACAAGTGAAGGCAGGAGCAGCTTTTCAAGAACAACTGGAYGAGAGGGTGCCATTCCCTTCCTTGTGGTCCCAGAAGCTGACCTTCCCAGACTGTGGATGGTGGGTGAGGAGGAGGCAGAGGGGCTGGGATGTTCAATTCGTGTTTCAAATTTGTAGCGGTTTTTTCTGTGGGGTTGCTGCAGGATAGACCCTAGGAACCACCAGACACATACTTTGTAGCCTCTCCTGTGATTGGGAGGCTGGTAGATGCTGGCCTAAGGTCCATACTCTGCAAGGGCTCTGAAGGGCTGTGGAGGTGGCCTGGGATTCCATATGCCTTTTGTTCTTAAGTAAACAGACCACTTTAATGCTGTCTGAATCCAGTCTGTGTTTATGGTATGCTTGGGACTGTTGGTTCATGCAATTTAAAGTTATAGCTGTAGGGTGAAAACCCTGTTATTCTAGTGCAGTAGAGGAAGGGCTATTTCCTTTTTTATTAAAACTGTACGATAGAAGATGAAAAGTCATGGCGAATTGTCAGGAGTGTGGTGCTTCAGCATCTAATTAAATCACTTGGAAGCTGTCAGAATGCATCTCATAAATGGAGACTCTCAGCTGAAGGTCACTTTGCTGGAGTCACACGTTAAACGCTACAAAATTGCCAGTGTGACGGGGTTGAAGGCTTAGTTGCCTTCCAAGACATAGACCGTGTAAACACAGCGGCGTGAGTGTAATTGAGTGGGGGAAATGTGCGCGCGCAGGTTTACTTGGTATGCCCACTTGGGTGTGTGCCAACGTGAGCATGAAAGAGCCACCTTGCGCCCAAGTCTGATCCTATCAGAAAACAGCCTGAGAACTGAGCGGCTTTCCTGCTCTTGGTGGAGGATGGGATTGAGGGGCCCTGGAACAGGTCCTCCTCTCYGGCAGCAGGAGGCCGGGGCTGTGGGCAGGGCCTGCAGGCCTGAGAGGACTCAAGGCCTTTCTGATAGTGTCGAAACATTCAGAGGCAGGGTTCAGGGGAGATAGTGCCCCTTGCAGACTCCAGAGATGTGAGTTTAATATTTGGAGTCCTGATGTGGCTGGTCTTAGGGTTTCCCAGCAGTATAAAACTCCTTTCAGCTTATAGGATTCACGATCTGAAATCCAAGCAGCGGTTTGTGTGTGCCAGGGTTGCTGAGCAGAGAGGAGGTCGGTTTGATTTCTGTTTTTCCAAAGTCTGTGGGTATCATGGTATTCTGGCAAACCACCTTCTGAGAAGGAAAAGGGCTATTTTAAAGAAAAATAGGTAACTGTAGTTTGTCCGTTGTACCCAAACCACATGTTGAAAAAGACTTGTGTGCCAAATCAGGCTTCTGGATCAAGAGCACAGCAGAGCGGGAGGGGCCAGTGAGCCATCTTGGTCCGGTGGCTCCTTCCCTAGGTCTGAGCAGAAAGGCAGCCCCAGGACCTCGTCCACTCACCCACTCGAAGGCCGTACCCGCTGGCGGGGGTGGTGCTCTAGATTAGAAGTTCAGGAAGGTCAGTGCCCTGTGAGACGTAGTGTATAGAAGCCAGGCTTGCAGACAGTTTCTCTGAGGAGGAGTAGGAAAGGCACTTCCTGGCTGCGGGCTGCTCTTCCCTGGCTCTTGGAAGCAGCTGTGTGGACATGCCCAGCACTCAGGTGAAGACCTCCGAAGTTACTTGAGGCCAGATTAATGGGGGGTTTCTTGGACACTGCTGCAGTATTTGCATAAGTGGCAACAGACTTCAAGTTCTAATAACGTTTGATAGTTGTTTACAGCGGGACTGGAAATCCGGGAGGGGTCTCAGCACAAGAGCCGATTCAGAAGCTAATGCATCTTAAGTGTAGATATATTCGTGGTCCAGGGCAAACACTCTTAGGCTTCTTATTTAGTGGCCAGGGAATGTTGCTTCTGTGTTTTGTATGTGAGTATGTATAGAAAAATCCAACCAATCTGTTAGTTTTGTTGTTTGGGAACTGGAAACATACCATTTAATTTACTTTCTTTAGAAATGCTGTTAAAAATTAACTTTATATATTTTTGCATTAGTTTTCCTCCCTGGAGGGATACTTATTCTAAAATTGGCTTCTGTGTAGGTATAAAACAGGTAAGAGTTACCACGGGAAGCATCTGTATTTAAATTGTTTGATGAAAGGGACTATCCATTCATTTCTTAGAACAAAAAGAAACAGAAAAATCACGATTTATGTCTGAAAGTAATTGCCTTGGAAGTCTGGAGGTCAACCATTAGCCTATTTTGGGAAGCTGATGGGACTCCTTGCCACCCCAGGCCCCGGTCCCAGCTGGGTGAGGGCTGGTAAGGTACCGCACAGGCTGGGCTCCACTTGTGGGAAGAGGGAGTGAGGTGCTCATGAAAACACACACAGGCTTTCGTGAATGAAAGTCACATGACCTGTTCCATTTCCTTTATTGAAAGAGAAACCTTTATAAAAATAGTGCTTCACAGAAGGAAGCACCGTGCGTGCGTGGAATCAGGAAGCCAGGTTTCTGGTTGCTGCTTGTCGTGAGTCACTGGGTGACTCTGGGCAGCCACCTAATCCCTGCTTCTCACTTTCTGTCTGTGAAATGGGTGGTTCTCCCCCTTTCCTTGCTGTGTCCCAGGGCTGCTCCGACAGAAATGAGACTCRAAACAGCAATGTGTTTTCAGCACTTTGGAAGGAAAGTGGTAATAAATCCAGGAATTCTGATGGTAGTTGGAACTTTGAAACCGTGGGTATATGCAGGAAAGACACTTTGGTAAATGGGTACCCTGAGTTCAAACAACACGCCCCCAGGCCTGCAGATGCAGGCAGGATGGCTGGAGCACTGCTTGCCTTCTGCTTGGTTGGTTCCCCTCTTCGTTTAGGATTCTTCAAGGGCTGGGGTGTAGCTCAGTGGTACAGCAARGGCTTTGCAGGCAGGGCTGGGGCTCCATCCCAAGCAGCAAACAAACAGGCAGAAAGATTTGTTCTATAGAAAAGTGCCCAAAGTTGAAGAGTCGTGTTTTAAATGAAAGGGTACAATAATGGTTTAGGAAATGGCATCCGATTGCTGGCCTATGTGAACAGACCTTTGAATTCCCTTTGGGGATTTGTTCATATATTAAGAAATATTGACAACATGAGGATATATAAAAGAGATACCTTTTAAAAAAAAAATTAGCTGTTAATACAGGCGACACAAGGACACAAGAACCCCTAAGCTTTCAGCTGTTAGTTCATTGTTGGGTCCAAGAGCTCGCTCAGTTGATTTAATCCTGGTGGTCACTCTCACAGCTGTACTTTGTAGCGGTCTGGTTGTCTGTTAGAGTAAGAAAATGTTTGAGTCTTTTGTGTACCCCCCTGCCCGCCCCCTCCAAGAGGAGTTTTACCAGCTTATTTTCTTTAGCAGTGTCGGTATCAAAATGAAGGTCTTTTTCTGAAGAGAACTTGCAAAAGTTCTAGGGCCAGTGTGGGCATAATGGGTTTTCTGTTAAGATTCCCACTAATGCACTTTCTTTAGAAGTCCAGTTCCAGGAGCTAGGTAACTTTTGGTATCAGATTTGGCAAGTGGAAAGGTTTTCTGTTTTCTGTTTTGTTTTGTTTTGGGGATAGCACAGAATCAAGTGTTCCCGTTTCACCTTAGAAACTTAAGGGAAAATGTAACTTTACCCTTTTATCTGCGTTGCCAAGTAGAGTGGTGAAAACAGACCAGGGACGCAGGTCCAGGCCCGGTCCGAGCCTTTCCTCCCTCAGGGGACTGTGGTGGTAGACTCTCTGCCATGGCTCCGTGTGGATAGGAGCAAAACACAGGTTTCTATACAAGATGGGCAGCACCCTCTAATGTTGGCGCGTCAGTAAACAAAACAAAGTTTTCTGACTCTCCAAAGTTGTCTTTTAGAACATGTTGTTTATCAGGTCATGAGTTTTGAGAACAATGTTATGCACATCTAAGCAGGACACTCTGTTAATTTTATTTCATTTGAACGTGATCTTCAAGACTGCGGTTCTTGGAACCAGTTAGAGTAGATAAATTATTGGCAGGCTTCCATGGTGTATTTTTTTTTGGGGGGGGAGAGAACTGGTGAAGCCCTCATTCAAGGCAGAGGAAGTGCTGGGGGCTGAGATTGCTACTGAGTAGCCAGTGTCTTTCAAGATTCCCATACTGAAATCCTATGCATAGGAGAAAGTTTGAATAGAGAGAACTGGGGAGTATCTAGTTTGCTCCCTCGGTGCAAATAATGCTGACATAGAATTGGGTTAAAACTCACAGACT